GATGTTTGCACAGTGACAGAATCGCCCAATGCCGCACTCCTCACAATATATCCCCACAGTCAGGCAGCACATGACTGTAATGGGATTTTCAAATTTTCAAAAGATACTTTATGTATTTTTTATAGAAAGCGCCATAAACATAACAAAAATAAAATTTATTTTCAAAACTGTAAAGATTTGAATGGGATCCTGCTAACATGTGATCATAGCCTCGCTGGATTTTCAAATTCCTAATTACAAAATGTTCAAAATGTTCTGAGAAATATTCATTTTTGTTTTAGCAGTGTATTTCCCAATGTATGTGTGAGGAAAGTCCTTATATAGCAGTGGGATCAAATGCCTGTACCTTTCTCCCAAACCTGTTTGGGACGGACCCTCGCTATTACTGGCCTCATCGCGCTCGTAACCAGCACCGGACAGGGCTACCTGCCGCCTCACGTTTTGGTGGTTTTTCAGAATTTCACTGACATGATTCAGTTTTTGTTCTTACATCTCATTTGTTTTCCATTGGAATTATTTTTTAAGTATAAATCTTTTATTGTCATTAATGCTTGTAGTTTATGGCCAGTTGTAAAATTTTCTAGTGTTTCAAAGTTAACTGGTGCCAGAAACAGATTGAATTAACATATGTTTACTTATTTGTTCTTGTTTTCTAGTTCATATGAATGTTATATATAAAGATTCCCCCCCTCCGCAAAAAAAATCATTGGAATTTAATGCTTTGGCTCATTATTCTGCAGCTTGATCTTAAACATGATCAAATGATACTTGTAATCTTGCTAAATTCACAGTGCTATAGAAATAGTGCCATCCACAATGGAAGACTAACAAGTGGACCTCTTTATCATCACAGATGGTTATAAGAATGAATTTCTACAAAACTATTTTACTTCTTATCTTTAAACTACTTTTCTCTTAACATGCTGTCCAAAATTTTTATTTTGAAAGAAAACATGGTGCATGCTAGGAGGTAAGAAACATAAGGAGGGTAGTTATAATGAAATTTAAATAATTCTCTTATATTTCTTTGCCAGTAAAATCATGTTCTGTTAGGCTTTTCTAATAAGCTCTAAAATATGTCTTTCAATTTATTGTACTATTATTATAAAAGAAAAAACTCAACACTGTCATCTTCCCAAATCAAATATTGATGTTTGTTAACAACAGATTTGGCAGTCATTCAGAGGCAAGTAGTACTAGGCTTTTTATATTTCCTATTTTTTTAGTCTTTATTTTTATCGTTGACACTATTACGCAGGTCATCATTTCCCACGCCCCTTTGCCCACATCCGCCCAGTCCCCGCCCACCCCTTCCCTCAGGCCATGACCACACCCTTGTCTGGGTCTATGGATCATGCATATATGGTCTTTGGATAATCCCTTCAGATATATCTGAACTGCTGGTGATCGCTCCCCAAGTCAGAGCAGATGCACTCTCTGCAGGAACATTCGCCAGAGGGACTGTATGTTCAAGGGGAAGATTTTCACGTTGCACAGTCAGCCTCATTTATTTTCCAGACCTCTAAATTTTTCATTCTAAGTAGCAGCCTCTCGCTTTATGAACCATGGGATCTTTATTAATTAAACAGAGTCAACAGGACTGATTTATTTTCTCCCTTCTCAGTTGAATTACCAAGCACATAAATCAGGAAGGAAATCTTTCTAATGCTAGAATGTTCCGCAAGCCAGTGCATCTGGGGATTATCTCATCACACTGATTATGTCAAAGCTCTTCAGTTGTAGTGCTCACTGGGACATAAAACTGAATGGCACACACACACACACGAACACCCAGTCCACCATCATAGGAAGAATTCCAGGTTTTTCCTCCAGTAACCAGAAGGCCCTAATTACCAGTGAGAGTAGCCACAATCATTTACTGACTATGTAATCATGGCCAGGCACTTCCCATGCATCGCCCGAGTCTCAGAGGCACTGGCTCTGCATGTCTTCACAAAGGACCCGGGGGTGAAACGTGTGCTTGGAGCATAGAACACTCTCTCTCTGCTGCTGAAGCTTTATTTTTTTTTCCAAGTGAGTAGCTGCTATAATTGCATTTTTTGGTATTTAGGAGTGTGTTTTTAAAAACATTCAGAAAAGCATATTGTGAATGTAAGATTAATCGGTGAGTATTTTATGGCATTATTTTTGTGGTTGGAGTAATATCAGATGTTGATTTATCACTAAAACGTGCTTAATGAAGTTCACTGGTGAGGAGGACTTTCTGGTGGAACTTTCTAATATTCTTTGTTCAGAGCCCAATAACTACATTTCTTCCTTAGGCATTTTGCTTTTGGTTATTTTAAATGATCAATTTAGTGGAATGTTCATGTATGGGCATTTATAATATTTCAGGCATGAGAACGTCATTTTTTTAAAAGTCAGGTAGGAAAGCACGCCCCTTGAACTCACCCCTCAGGCAGTTGTTCCTGCTCTTCCTTCCCACCTCCCCAACCAGGGAATACTGGGGTGGGGGGGGGGGCGGGGGGGGCAGGATTTATGGTGATTTCAAGTCTCTTCTTTGGACTTGCAGGTTGTACGTGTGCTGACAAATATTAAATGTGCATGTATATGTGTGTGTGTGTGTGTGTGTGTGTGTGTGTGTGTGTGTGTGTATCTCAAGATTTTACATTTGTTTCATCGGGCTTTTTCCTCTTTATTCTAAACATGTACTTTGTGCAGGATGATGGGTCCTCCTTTCACCTTGGGTGGCACTCTAGACCACTTCTGTTACACTCATTAGTATTTATTTAAAATCACTTTCCATTTAGGCAGCTTTCCAGTTTTATAAAGGCCTTCAAATGAAGTTAACCTGTGCAGCATCAAGTGCTGCAGTGAGTTCAGCCTCCATAATTAGAGATTCCATTAAACCATTTTGGAGGTAATAGTAATGCGGATCACTGTCGAGAGAGTAATGACTCTCTGTACCACTTAACCACACTCCAAGGTTTTGAAACTATAAAGGTGTCTGGGCCTTACGACCTTCACCTTGATTCTTAAACAACTTGAACTCTTACCCAGTCATGAACCTCTCAGCGATCTTCTTTCATGAAAAGATGCATTTTTAATATTTAAACAGACAAGTTTAACAGTTTATATAGGGGAATGTAGATAGAATTTAGAGTATAGGATTGGAGGCAAACCAAATGTAGTAATGACAGTGAAAGTGACCGTTTGTATTAAGTCTAACGTTTTCAGCTATCATCATCGACAGCCAGCAAGCGCCATTTTGTGGTGATCCCCAAATTGTGTTCTGGAGAACACTAACCCCACGTGTGTGCTAACAGGGGAACAAGGGCACACTAGTTTGAAAAATATTGCCTACTCGGAAAGTCAGAGAACACAGTAGTGTATTTCAAGTTATGGAAAATCCTAGAGTAAAGAAACCTACCTACCTGCATTTAACCTAGTGTATCTCAAACTTATTTGACCATAAAATTCTCTTCTTCGCGTAATATTATTAAAGACCCTTGGGACACACTTTGGAAAATGGTAAGTAACATGTAATGTAGGCGATACTTTCAGATCCACAGTCATATTTGATCCTCAAAAGTGCCAGCATTCACAACTTGCTTTGAGACCTGCTTCTGAGGCGGAGTTTGGATAGGATAGGGGTGGGGGAAACCGAGGTAGGAAGGATGAAGGCAGTGGGATAAACCAGGGCTAGGAAGAATATCCAAGGAAAAGAAACAGATCATCCCAATTCCAGAAGCTGTCTGTCCAATAGGCAGGCGCTGGGCAGACAGTGGTGGATTGAGAAGATCCATCCAGCTGCAGGCTGGGTGTTGGATCCTAGTTCTGAGAACTGCTGCCCCGCCCTGCCCCGCAGGGGCCTGCTTTGTGATGTTTCACCACTACCTGACCAGGCCCTCTATCTTGTTTATGTCCTTCCCTTCCTCTGCTTCTGTTTTTCCCCGAAACGCCTAGTCATTTGTTCTGAGAACAGGGTAGGCCCATGAACTCACAGGGAGGAATCAGTTCTTGCCCTCAGGGAGCTTCACATGCACTAAGAGGGCCTAAACATAATCAGGCGTTTATCGTGTAGCATCATAGGAGATAAGAGCATGGACACAGATTGAAGGAATCTGGAGGAAGAGTTGGTTCTTTAGAATTAGTAAAGGAGATTAACAAAATGGGAGAAAGGAAGATTGTAGCAGAGAAGAAAGCGCCGCTGAAGCAGGTTAAAAAAAGAAAAAGAAAAAGAAAAAGAAAACATATTTCTTACTGTGGAGTATGCATTTGATCCAGAAGGCACTGGTTGGCACTGAATTTTTAGCAAGTGAGCATCAGCAGTGTATGGCATTGGAAAGATCTCTTGGCTGGAGTGGAGCATGAATTAGAGAAGAGCTAGAGCAGCGGCAGAGAGGCCAGCGATTTCAGTGACCTAGGCAATAGCACTGGAAAGGAAGGGAAGGAAGAGATCCCGAGATGCGCAGCGAGACAATCACAGAACTCGCTGCCCGAATGAATGTCAGACAAGGGAAAGCAAGGAATCCAAGATGAACCACTGTCCTCCATTTCTTGTTACCAAAGAAGGAAAAAAAAAAGAAATGGTTTTTGTGAACCTTAAAACACATCTAAGACTTATTAAAACATTGGATCCCGCCCTGGTTGGGCAGCTCAGTTGCTTAGAGTGTCACCCCCAAACACACCAAGGTTGCAGGTTCAATCCCCAGTCGGAGCACATACAAGAATCAACCAGTAAATGCATTACTAAGTATAACAACAAGTCAGTCTCTCTCTCTCTCTCTCTCTCTCTCTCTCTCTCTCTCTCTCTCTCTCTCTCTCTCTTTCCCCCTCACTCCCCCCCCCGTTGTCCTTTCCTATCTCTTTCTAAAATCAATAAATTTTTTAAAAAATGTAAAGATTGGATTCAGTTCCAATTACGTCCTGTCACAAGGGACTGCAGTAGGGTGGAAGTGATGTCCCTAAGATAAGTACTTGCACGGAGGGGTCGGACCAGCTTCCAGATTGTAACTGCGTTCCTTATTCTTCCCAAGTCACGTAACACAGACCACATCCTGGATCCACCCTGTGATGAGTGCACTGAACCTGTCTTGCTCAGAGGAGAATGAAGAGGACTGCTCCAGGGAACTTCCCGACCAGAAGAGCTAGTGGTTTTCCGTGGGAAGCTGAGCTCCGTGGCCTTCCAGCACGTCGGTCTCCACGCAGGACTCTGAGACGCAATGGTCTGAAACAGGAGTAAATGCTCACGACCGGTGGATGCTGTGAAACGGAGACTCTGCACCGAATGCTAATTTTTGTAAAACTTTTTCATGCAACCGTGTACATTTACAGGATCAGTCGCCACTACAGTAGTTCTTTAAGAATAATCTAGCCCTATTTTTTTGAAATCATATGTAGTTAGACTTTATATTATGTATACTTTTTATATATAATTAGAACTTTGCAGTTTTATATAGAGTTCTTTACGGAGTGTCTGATACATTGATCTCTAGGATTAACACTTAGGTTGGAAAATTATGTGAATATAGTGAAACACTTCATTTATTTGAAAATTCACTAACCTTTTATATTTGTATCTTAGGAAAGTGAGTAAGCAGGCTCTGGGGGTTTTTCTCAAAGATCACAGGTAGACCACCATCTCACAGGCTCCTGAATACAGTCTGCATTTTATGGGGCTTTCTGATTTACATACTGCTTTGCTGGCCCTGTTTTATTCGCACCATCCAACACGCCCATGAGGCAGATCCAGTGGGTGATTCTTATTCCATTTTTCGTTTATGGAAATAGTGGTTCAGAGAAGTGAGGCACCTTGTCCTAGGTCTTCTGACCCTCTGTCCGGCCCCCTTTCCACTGCACCCTGCTGTCCCAGCAGAGGCAGGTCACAGCCCGATGCACAGGGCACTCGGTTCTGTTGACGCAGCTGAGCTCCACGCCGAGCACTCCGGTGGCCGCCCAGATGCGGCAGGCACCTCTTCAGTGAAACAAGCCCCCACGTAACTCCACTGTGGTCCTGGAAACCCATCCCCCTTCTGCACCCCCAGACCCTCACCAGGTAGGAGCATGGTTTTGTGGTGTTTCGGCAGGCTTCCTGTGGCTGGCTCATATCCAGGATTTGCCTTGTTTACATTGCACTTGCCAGACGCAGCGTTTGAGGAGCATTGATGAGAAGAGGGGCATCCAGAGTCTCCTCTGCTATCAAAAGAGATGTCCTTGAACCCTTCTGCTCCAAGTTCAAGACTGATATCATTGCTGACACCACCTACCAAACTAATTATGCTTTTGATCTTTTTTTATTTTATTGTAAGGATGCTAGACAGTTTCTAGCGGGAATGAGCCACTGACTTGGAAAGCTAAAGATTTTCTCTCAGTTCAATGATTTAAACCCAAGGTCGGAAAAGGGGGTTGTGGAGTGGGGAGGAAGTCAGTCATCTCAAATGTCCAGGGCATTCGGTACCAACTGAAAAATAAAAAGGCACTTATTCCTATCCAATGTTGTATTTTTAGGTGATGTACTTAGAAAGAAAGTGAGTAGGAATCATTAGCTACTCAGAATACCTGTTCCCAAACCATTCCTACTAACACAGAGAAACTACTGGTGATCACTCTGGCCACCTTTTTCCTCTTCCCTTCTCCTCAGCCCTCCCCCTCCTCCCCTCTGCCCTCCCTTCTCTCGTCCTCCCTCCCTGCCCGCCCCCCTCTGAAATTCAGGTAGGAAAACAGAACTCAGAACCTTGAACATCATCTGACTCGGTGATTTTTCAGACACCTTCTGGTGAAAAAGACTCATTTTTCAAATGAAGTCTTATACAGAATCACAATATATATAATAGAATATTTTTAAAATATTGCTACTCCGCCTGAAAAAGACAAGGCCTGGAGCCAGGTACAAGCAGCCCCGCATCACTGCTGTGCAAACCCAGAGCTCCTTAGGAGCCCAGGGCGAGAATCATCAGTCCCAAGGTCACGCAGAGGCTGAGCGACCAGGTCAACATCAGACCTAGATCCTAAACCTTCCAGTCTACTACATCTCCTGTGGCATGTAACACAGATGTATATTGCAAGTACATGTGTACATTGTGCTCACCCATACATTCCTGAATAGATGTAGGATTTATAACTTATGTCTGGAATAATAATAACATAAGGTCAAATCTAGGCTGATAGGTAGGCAGTCATTAGCCCTGAGAAAACTTTGTGAGTGGCTGGAAAGGACTTGAGTTTCGCCTGACAGCTGTTTGAATATTTGGAAGCTTCAGGGAGACCAGTTTTGAGAGAAGCCCCCCAGAGAGTTCTTTCCTTGTGTCCCCCATCTGTGCATGAGATTCTCAAACACCTGAGGTTACTTTAAGTTAGTATCTGTAGTCGTGAAAGTACAGACTTTTTGTTGCTGCCAAGTTAATGGTATGACATTTCCCTCCCCCTTCCGGAAGAGTTTTCCTAATTTGCTTCTAGTGAGGAAACACAGAGGAGCTGCCAGAGTCACTTGAGGTCAAGGTCTCGGGCACACGTTTCACTAACAGACACCTCGTGTGTTAACTTCGCTGTTTCATGCCACTTCCCTCCCTGCTTCTGACAAATGCCTAATGGGAAAGGCCTGTAGGATTTTATTGTTATTTATTAAGCATTTCGGTGCCATACATGGTGGTTGGCAGTTTGCATATATTATTTCATCATCTTAAAACAGCCCATGAGGTAGAACCCGGAACTGCCCCTGTTGTACAGAAGAAACACGGCTTTGGAGAGAGTTGCTCCTCTCGGCCTGCAGTCACACGGCACCCGCGTGTAGAGGCCGGCGTTCCAGGCAGCCCGCTCTGGGCGGAGCTGCTTGCATTTCACTGTGTGTGTTGCTCGTGGCAGAGCTGGGGTGTGCGGGTCTGTTTTACAAAGAGGCAGGTACCGGTTCTGCACAATAAGGAACTTCCTGGTAGTTAGCCCTGGGAAAGGATTCCCCAGGAGAAAGCGGGAGGGAGGACTGTCCCAGGAGGCATTCTGTCGGTCTGAGCACCTTACTGCAGGAACATTGCTGAGGAGGTTCAGAGTCAGAACCGACATCATCTGAGCATTCTCCAAGTTTCCACTCTTCTTTGTGCTTCTGTGACCTCTGAGCCAGCAGATAACTGCTCCAAGACACGCTCAAGGAAACATGCTAATGACTCATTGATAGTCTTTCTGTTGCAAGTAGAACCCCCAAATTATTGTTTGGTGAGTTGTCATTTACATACCCAGGCTTTCTTTGATATAAATCAACCCTAGCAATGTAGCCATTTGCAGTAAGCCCCTCTCCGGTGGCCCACTGACTCAGACTTTTAGGGCGGGGCCGTCTCAGCATTCTGATGGCCTTCCATCTCACTTTACTGAGAGTGACCGAGGGGAGCCATCCTTACTGATTCTCAAAAGACTTCCTCGGCACCAGCAATGCATCCAGCAAGGGCACTATGGTGAAGTAGGGTGATAGCCAGCTACTTCCTAGGTTCTGTTTACGGGTGGGTAAAAAGGTGTAAAATCTTCTCAGGTGGCCAGAATTGGACAGCTTCTCTGAATTTTTTGAATTTTTGAAACAATCTATTTCCATGAAAAATCAGGTAGTATGAAGTTAAATAAAGTAAAAGAAAAAAAAATAGCCCATCTCTCCAGAGGTGGCTATCACTAATATTTGCTGAGTATTTTTACTCAAAGGAAGTCATACTGTGAAGTAGCTTTCTTTTGACATAATACATCGTGGTCATTTTTTTCATATCAGTACATAGATTAATGTTGTATTTCAAGTGTCTGCATAATCATCTACACCCGGATAACTCGTGTGCAGCCAGCAAGCTATCGATGAACGCTTAGGCTGTTTTAGGTCTTCTGTTACTGACAATGGGTGTCACAGGGAACATTCTTCTATTCACATTCTTGTACTTATTCAGTCTTTTCCCTCATGTATCTGTGTCCTCTGGTGCCGATACCTACAGTAGGGTTATAATGACAACAGTAAATTGTCATGTCAAAATAGGTTCATTTTGATTATGTTAGGTGTTCATCAGTTTACCTCCATAAAAATAGGATCAATTTACACTACCACCAATAGTGTGTGTGAGCTGCTTTTCGCTATATCACAGGACTTTCTTGGGTCTTGAGATTGCATGTAACTTTTCTGATTGTTTTTGTGCTTCAAAGAGTAGCTTTTCGTTGCATTGTTGCCAAAGGACCAGAACTTTTTCATTGGAAGGTTTTAGTTTTCTTAGCAGCAGAGACTAAGTCTCTCCATAGAGGGGCATCTAGCAGGGACTAATTCACTGTGTGTCCAACACATCATTACTCTTAGCTTCTTACCTGAAAACACTTACCTTTCCTACTTTACATATAATGGTTATGAGAGCCAACTTTTAAATGAACTCACTTGGGCAAGAGCCCTCAGTGAAGTGCAGAGCACAGTACCAAACACACCTATAAGTTCTTCGAGCCTCAGTTTCCTCATCTGTAGAAGGAGGATAATAATTCCCTGCCTCTTCCCAGACCAATTCAACTCCGCAGCCCTTTCCCGCACACCTGCTAAATGCCAGGCAAGACGTGAGGCCTTGAAGTTACCATGGTGAATTGTACCGATTCCCAAATCAAGAAGCTCATACTCTACCACCCTTTTCCTTTCTTTTCTTTTTTTTTTCCAGAAACCTTTTATTATTCCTTAAAGGAGTAAGAAGTTAAGGGTTTGTTTAGTAAGAACCCCTGAAGAAAGACCCTTTATCACGTTCTTAAATTTGAATAATTCCAAAATAATAACACCCTTTGAGTAGAAATGAAAGAAAAGAAACATACGGTGTGAAGGGCCTCTCCAATAATAAATGCAAAGCAGCTGTAAAAATACAGAGTCAAATGATACTTTCATGAAGTGTTTGCAAAATTAGAAAATATTATTCTTTATCTAGGGGGTTTTTATTTTCTCTGCTAAATGAAATGCAACATTTTCAAGGCTGGACAAACTTGAGTTTGAACAATATATAGAACAGAAAGAACTGGACTAACATTAAAACAACTCACATGCTCTATTGCATGTGATTTTTGAGAAGGTGAAAAGAACTTTAAGCAGACTATGCCTGCGGAGCTTAACTTTAGAAATAAAACACCCAAGATGTCTTAACCACAACTATCCGCATGTAGTATCATTGCCTGCGTGATGATTATGTAAACATTAAATGCAGTTCTGTATTTGTTCACTTCGTATGATTTTTACATTTAAATACTAATACTTCTGCTAACTTTTTTGTTTCATTTTTACCCTCGGGTTTGGGGGGGCGTGGATCTGAGGGAAAGTGCCATCAGACTAAGAGCTTGGATTCCCTATTCCCGTTTCCCCATCACTGGATTATTTTTTACCACTTCACCCTGTCTAGTTTTTACAGTGTGCATCAATGTGTCATGATTTTTTGTTTATTGCCTTTCTTAATAATAGGAGCAATCATTGAAGTAAGCTCCGTGGAGGTAGGTGTGTCTCTGTCCTTTTCACCATTGTATCCGCCAGATCTACCGCAGCGCTTGTCACGCCACAGGCGTTGAGTGCACACTCGTGGGACTGAATGCGTGAAGTGCTGTGCACAACTAAGACTCAGTTCCAGCTTAACTCTCCTGCCTTTGTGTTTACTTATTCCTTCAACAATTACCGAAGTGCTCTTGGGTGCCAGACACTTCGCTAAGTGCCAAGGATACAATGCAAAACAGGCTCCGTGATCCTACTAGCCCCCATGTAATCTATACTTTAGGGAAAGAACATTCAACTTAAATTAACCAAAGCCTTTCCATTTATTTTCTTTCTCCCATACTTGAACTTCTAGGCCATTCAGTGTCCATTGCTTCAAGAAAGAGACTTTGCTTGGGGCGATAGGCGCACGGTGCAGTGTGCAGATGGTGCTGTTGGGTTGTCCACTTGAAACCTGTATGGTTTTGCGAACCAGTGTCATCCCTATGTATTCAATAAAAATAAGTAAATAAATAGATAAATAAATAAAATATAAAATAAAATAATAAAATAAAATAAAATTGTGTGACATCAGAAAGCAGAGGAATACGTACTCTGAGTTTTAAAGGTCTGGCTCCTCAGGGCCCTGGAAAGGATCCGTGATTTGGAACAAAGACGGGAGAGCACATCCAATGGGGAAGAGCAAGGCTTCCTACTCCCTGCTCAGGAAGTGATTCCCCTGGCTGTTGGACGGGGAGCCCAAAACGTTGGTGGGGCTCAGAGAAGGGGGCCTGGGCCCCACCTCCAGAGGCCACCTTCTTGGAGCAGCAAAACTCCACTTGCGTTTGTGCGGAGAGCAGAGCAGACCCATTCCTCATTGTCCCCTGCAGTGGAAATGACTGCATGGTGTGTCTCAGGAGACGGGGCCTTGGATGACTTCCTGGAGCTTCCTCCACACCAGCATTCAAATGAGGAAATCAGATTGATGTCCCCGAACCCCAGAGGGTCACAGGAGTAGCAGGAGCACTGACTGGTCCCGAGTGAGGATGTCCACTCAATCCCCGTGGCCTCTCAGTGAGTCGGAGTTTGGACAGTGACAACAGACCCTCCAAACCCAGAGTGCCTTAGCACTAGGTAAGCCTTCTGGAGCTCAGCAGTGACTCCTAAGAGTGGAGGGAACTTCAACCTGGCTGAGGTTGGCATCAATCAGGTGCTGACGCCTCCTTCCTCACAGAGGGAGCTCCTGCAGAGTAGTCCTGTGGCCCTGTCTCTGCCTCTGCCCTCTCCGGCACCACTCACATGTTCGGTGAGTTTGGAATAAAGAGCAAGACGTGTGCTTTTTCTAGAACATTTATTTCTGAACTATATCCCTTTTTTCTCTCTTCCATGCCAACATTGCCTATTTGTTTTCCAGGTCATTCTGCTTTATTACCTGGATAATTGCAATGTAGGCAATATACACTCTTCCCTCTCTCCCGCCCCTGTCCTCATCACCCTGCCCACCGTATTTCTGTCAGAACCGTCTTTCTGAGACACAGATTGGATTCGATCACTCCCTTGCTACCCCTCGGTAGTCCCTGGCACCTGCCATGATCGGATCCCTTCCGCTTTCTCTCTGGCCTCATTTTTCATCTTCAACAATCACTCAATAGACTCCTCTCTGTCTTGGGAACAACTCCTGCCTCATTTCCTCATCAGATCCAAGACACCACTCTCGTGTCATGTCTTCTGTAAAGATCTTGGCACATATCGCCTTCCCCGTGCCCGGCGTTCGCACAGTAGATGCCACCGCTGCACTTTTCCTACCCGTGCAGCCCCTCTCCCCACTTGGGGGTGGTAGAGTAAGAACTTCCACCCCAAGAGGAGCTCCTGACCTGCTTGTCCAGACACATACTGGGTTACTACATTTATTTGCTAATATATTTTTATCTAGAGAGCTGGGTTACTGAATCTTTTTTTTTTAATTTTATTTATTTTAGAGAGGGAAGGGAGGGAGAGAGAGAGAGAGAGAGAGAGAGACATTAATGTGCGGTTGCTGGGGATCATGGCCTGCAACCCAGGCATGTACCCTGACTGGGAATCGAACCTGCAACACTTTGGTTTGCAACCCGCGCTCAATCCACTGAGCTACGCCAGCCAGGGCAGGGTTACTGAATCTTAAAAGCTCTTCACGTGGTAGCAAAACTCGGAACTCTGGATAAAGGCAACTGCTAGTCTCTGGCACTGTGGCTGTCCCACTCGCCATCAGCAGCTTGGCGAGTAAGTCCAGTGGAGCTGGGCTGGGGGCAGTGGCTCAGACAGTCTCTTGTTTCTGATTTGTGCGTTGGTGCATTTGACCCAGACCGCTGGATGGTGAGAAGGTTAACTAGGGGAGCCACGCTCTGAAATCCTTCCCCAGCCCCTATCACTGCACACCTTTTAGTAAAGCCTCTATTGTACTATATTTGCAATTCATTTAGATGGGGAAAGGGACATGTGTGTCTCTCCTACTAGACTCTGAGCCCGTTAAATCAGAGTCTGTATATTTTTTCATCCCTTGCATAAGACATGGCATAGGAATATTCAATAAATGTTTACAGAATAAATTTTAAAAAGTGATTTCTTGTTTTCAAACACTCTTAGCTGTTTCCTGCTTCTAGCAGGGAAAAGACAAGGTGAATGACAAGGAAAATGGGACGGGAGTTTAAGCACGTCTGCACTAACTAGTTCCCATGCTGGAACAACATAATGGATTTTGCTGGAGGAGGAAGTGTATGCTGCGTAAGTGCGGCCATAAAACAGTGTGAATGCAGTGGGGGCGGGGGGTGGTACATGCTCCAACACTGTCGATTTGCCCGAGCTTTTGAAAAATACAACAGGATGATTTTGGTACATGAGAGTAGATAAAGCTGAAAAGCAAAATACAAGGTTGGTGCATTTCAAGGCAGCAGCATTCACATTTCCGCCCTTATAGGTTAATTAATCATGCTGCTGAAGAATTGATTGGGCACAAGGGAGCTGTGTTTTGCCACAGTATTTTGCAAGTGCAGAAATGATCGCATCCATAACCAAGCCCACCGGATTTGCTCGGCTGTTGCTGTGTGACAATGGAGAAACTCATTTTTTACCAGGAAAATGTGGGAAGGGAAAACAGGAAGACAAAGCGAACTGGGTGGATAATGAAGAGATCTTGGGAAACAGACAGCTCAGGTCAGGCGTTTCTCTGGGCCGGGATATCAAAGGTGTTCGTGGGCAGATCCTATCTCTGTAGACTGCGTAGTTTGATCATTCGGGGAAGCAATCCATGCATTCACTCTAATGCCAGCTTTTTATTTTTGCACCTGATCCCATGGGTTATATATAGTTTTTTGATTACCACAAAAAAATGTAAAAGCTTGCACCAAATTAAATGCATACAGCACATCTCTGAATGGTAAAAGTGCTGAATATAAGGAAAATCTGAAAGAAATATGGTGTGTATATGTGTAGACGTGTGTGTGTTTATATATATGTTTGTATATGTATGTATGTGTATATGTGTGTATATGTGTATATGTGTGTATATGTATACACACACATACACACACGTATACACATATATATATACTTTAAAGGAATAAGAAATAATTAATAGACTAAAGCCTAAAATTTTAGGAATATGACCAAAGCAGGGGTTCCTTACTCACTGATGGAACTCCTAGTGAGAATCTCATATGGTGAGCAGTCACGAAGCTATCTCCGTTTTTTCAGTATTGCTAAGGTTGTTCATTGATCATATTCCTTCTGTCCCTTTGAGTATGATATTGCTGATGAGCATTCACCAAATTTAAGACTCCATCAATTATGACTCACCATTATTTGATGTATCCCCAAATGAAAAAAAGGCATTTAAAATATGACATAGTAAGTACTTCAGATTTTTGTGTTACTGCCCTTTCAGTAAATCTAAGAGCTCTTTGAACATATATTTTCATCATGTACATATATAGAGGAAAATTAAATACGGATAAATTGTGATATCCCTAAAACTCCTACATATCAGAATGGAACTCTCCTCAATCCCTTTTTGACTCAGAGTCGCTGCTTACATTTCTTGCAGTAACATCATCCTCTGCCATCAAACGAAGCCTTTCTTAAAGGAGAACCGCACCTCCGTCCATGGGCATTTCCCAAGACTTTGCATCTATCCCGTAGTTGTGTTGCTAGCGTTTTCTTTAGTCTTTTCAAAAGGACTTAATGGAAGATTTTTAGACAGCTGTCAGGTCTCGTATGCCTCCCACAGATAGTCCTTAAGTGCTTTACCCACTGGACATTGAGGGAGTAACAGAGCGTCCCCACCACGGGAAACAACCAGGCTCACGCATGCACAGGCGAAGCGCTGTGGCGTCGTGCTGCCTGGCCAGCATCACGGACTGTGAGACACGTCTGGTAACACGCTGGTCCCCCTGACGTGAGTGTCAGTGTGGGCTAGGAGTGAAGAGCAGTACGGAGACATAGGGCCAGCGTGAAGGAAGGGGGGGGATGAAGAGACAGACAAGGGTCTGATGTCACGCAGAGCCCACTGGGGTGGGAGTAACTTCGGCTCAGTCGTACAGGGGAGCCCTGGAGACAGTGCAAGTGTCCCGGTCGGGACTGGGGAGCTGGAGTCTTTGTGCCCCTGCACCTTCCATCACTGGCTGTGCAGGGGAGGCCTGGGAGGGAGAGCGCAAAGTGGGCTTCTGCAGCCCGCC